GAACATGTGACCAGGAGAACCCCAGACCCACGAGAACCTCCACCCACCACCAACCAACCACCACCCGACAGGAGCAGAGCCTCCGTGATCATCAGACACGTTCTACACGGAGAACAGAGAACATGTGACCAGGAGAACAACAAACCCACGAGAACCTCCACCCACCACCAACCACCCTCCTCCTGTCTCCTCCTTCCTCCTCTTGTCTCCTCCTTCCTCTTGTCTCCTCCCTTTCTCTCCTGTCCTCCTCCTCTTCCTCCTCTTGTCTCCTCCTTCCTCTCTTGTCCTCCTCCTCCTCCTCCTCCTGTCCTCCTCCTCTCCTCCTCCTCTGTCCTCCTCCTTCCTCCTCCTTGTCTCCTCCTTCCTCCTCTCCTCCTCTCCTCTCTCCTCCTGTCCTCCTCTCCTCCTCCTCCTCCTGTCTCCTCTCTCTCCTCCTCCTCCTCTGTCTCCTCCTTCCTCCTCTTGTCTCCTCCTTCCTCTCTTGTCCTCCTCCTCCTTCCTCCTCTCTGTCTCCTCCTTCCTCCTCTTGTCTCCTCCTTCCTCCTCTTGTCTCCTCCTTCCTCCTTGTCCTCCTTCCTCCTCCTCCTCCTCCTCCTCTTGTCTCCTCCTTCCTCCTCTTGTCTCTCCTTCCTCTTTCTCTTGTCTCTCCTTCCTCCTCTTGTCTCCTCCTCCTCCTTCTCCTTCCTCTCTGTCTCCTCCTTCCTCCTCTTGTCTCCTCCTTCCTCCTCTTGTCTCCTCCTTCCTCCTCCTGTCTCCTTCTTCCTCCTCTTGTCTCCTCCTTCCTCCTCCTGTCTCCTCCTCCTCCTCCTCCTCTTGTCCTCCTCTCTTCCTCCTCCTTCCTCCTCCTCCTCCTCCTCCTCTTGTCCTCCTCCTTCCTCCTCCTCTTGTCTCCTCCTTCCTCCTCTTGTCTCCTGCTTCCTCCTCCTGTCCTCCTCCTCCTTCTTCCTCCTCCTTGTCTCCTCCTTCCTCCTCCTGTCTCCTCCTTCCTCCTCCTCTCTCGTGTCTCCTGTCTCCTCGTGCTCCTCCTGATCTCCACTTCAGAGCGTCAGATGAAAGGTGCAGATCTTCTTCTTTGTTTTCATGCAGATGTTTCTCATTAGAATGTGAAAAGTCTCTTTGTGATTCAGTCTGAGTTTGTTTTAATAATGAACTGATGTAACTGACGCGGCTCAGAGCGGCGCCCCCCACAGGCCTCACGGGAAACTCCCTCCCACTTTTACATCCTCTGTTTATAACGTTAGAATTATAATGTTTTTACTCAAATATGAAGTCAAAAGTCACGAAACAAAGTGAAGATTTCAGCCCCAAAAACACAAAAAAAACCTAAATGTTTCTACAACTCAGCGCGTTATAAAGTTTCAGAAACAGATTTTCACTAAAAGTTTTTATGTCGTTTGTTTCCACAGAAATAATTTGAATTAATTCTTTTAAAATACAGAAATCTGCAGTAATAAAAACAGGAAACATCTTTTATCTCTGGAGAGTTTTTCCTGTTTTTCTTTCACCTGATTTAGATTTTCTGTTTTTTTTTTTTTCCAGATGGTGTCAAGAGGAGCAGCAGGACCTGACCTGAGTCTGACCTGAGTCTGACCTGAGCCTGACCTGAGCCTGAGACCTGAGTCTGACCTGAGTCTGACCTGAGCCTGACCTGAGTCTGACCTGAGCCTGAGCCTGACCTGAGCCTGACCTGAGTCTGACCTGAGCCTGACCTGAGTCTGACCTGAGCCTGACCTGAGTCTGACCTGAGCCTGACCTGAGTCTGACCTGAGCCTGACCTGAGCCTGACCTGAGCCTGACCTGAGCCTGACCTGAGTCTGACTGAGCCTGAACTGAGCCTGACCTGAGTCTGACCTGAGCCTGACCTGAGTCTGACCTGAGCCTGAACTGAGCCTGACCTGAGCCTGAACTGAGTCTGACCTGAGCCTGACCTGAGTCTGACCTGAGCCTGACCTGAGTCTGACCTGAGCCTGAACTGAGCCTGACCTGAGCCTGACCTGACCTGACCTGAGCCTGACCTGACCTGACCTGACTCTGACCTGAGCCTGACCTGAGTCTGACCTGAGTCTGGTCCTGTCATAACTTCACCCAGAGCTGGAGAACATCTGCAGAACTTCCTCTGTGTCTCAGCGAGCGACGCACCAATCACAGAGCAGCGTTGTGTTGTGGGCGGAGCCAAGCTGAAGCTCCAAACGACCAAAACAAAAACGACGGCGCAAAAAGTGTTATTTTAACTATTTGAAAGTTGAATGGGGGTTCATCAACTCCTCTTAGAGTTAATTTGTCTCCTGCACTTCAAACTCCCTCCAGTTTGAACCAGTTTGAACCAGTTTTGTTCTGAATTTCATCTTAAATTAACTCAAAGTGTGAAAATAAAACTCCTCTGTGTGTTGTTGAGTTAAATCAGGATAACTCTACAAAGTGTTATCTGTTTACTCTCTAAACCTTCATTTAACTCTGGGTTTGGGTTAAACAGGAACTTTGGTCCAGTTTTACTTCATGAACTTTTACACAAATGTTAAATTAACTCTAGAACAGAGTGACTCAGAGAAACTCTGAGGAAATGTTCAAACTGACTCTGTCAGAGTTGATTTGAACACAACACTTTTTACTCTGTGTTTATTTCCACGTTTATGATCCGTTTGTTCTGCTGTTGGAACGTTCCTCATAAATGTGACTCCTGACCTGAGCAGAACCTCCTGACCTGAGCAGAACCTCCTGACCTGAGCTGAGCAAACCTCCTGACCTGAGTTCGTCTGGAGACTTGTGAGGACCTGCTGAGGTTTTCACTTTCACAAACTCAGACTCACTGTGGGTCTTTGTGCGTCGCTCTGGTCGATCCCCGAGTCCTGGCTCCAGGTCCGGTCTCTGGTCCGGTCTCTGGTCCGGTCTCTGGTCCGGTCCTGGGTCCACAGAAGGACTCAGAGGTGGGTTCAGCGGAGACTCCGTCTTTGGCCCTGAGTCGGCGCTGAACCTCCAGCGCCACCTGCTGGAAACTGCTCTGAGCGCGATGAATGGCACTGAACACCCGCCGCCGCGGGAACGAGTCCTGAGGAGAACAGACCCTTTAGACCTTTAGACCTGGTTTAGACCAGGTTTAGTCCTGGTTTAGACTAAGTTTAGACTCAGTTTAGACCTGGTTTAGACCTGGTTTAGACCAGGTTTAGTCCTGGTTTAGACCTGGTTTAGACCTGGTTTAGGCCAAGTTTAGACCAAGTTTAAACCTGGTTTAGACCTGGTTTAGACCTGAGGTTTAGACTGAGTTTAGACTGAGTTTAGTCCTTCTATTCCAGGTTTAGTCTGGCTTTGGTCCTGGTTAGGACAGGGGTTTAGTCTGACTCAGTCGGGTTCAGTCTGGCCCGGGTCTGGATCTGGTCCTTGTTCTGGTTCTGGTCTAGTCCTGGTTCAGTCCTGGTCTCACCTGGCTGCCCTGGTGGTGTCCCAGCGCGTCCTGGAGTTTGTGGATCTGGGAGGTTTTCGAGTCCAGTTCTTTTTGGAGTTGGTCCAAACGAGTCCTGAAGTCCTGGTCCTTCTGACGCAGCTCGAGCTCCAGCTCCAGTACACGCCTCCTCAGAAGACTGAGCAACAGACCGGATTTACCTGGAGTCCTGGTTCAGTCCTGGTTTAGTCCTGGTTTCAGTCCTGGTTCAGTCCTGGTTCCTGGTTTAGTCCTGGTTTAGTCCTGGTTAGTCCTGGTTTAGTCGTCCTGGTTTCAGTCCTGGTTTAGTCCTGGTTTAGTCCTGGTTTAGTCCTGGTTCAGTCCTGGTTCAGTCAGTCCTGGTTCAGTCCTGGTTTAGTCCTGGTTTAGTCCTGGTTTAGTCCTGGTTTAGTCCTGGTTTAGTCCTGGTTTAGTCCTGGTCCTGGTTTAGTCCTGGTTTAGTCCTGGTTTAGTCCTGACCTTGGACCTGGGTCGTGGTTGAGATCTTCAGCTCTTGGTCTGATTGAACCGTTTCCCATCGTCTGGACTCCAAAGATCAGCATGGACCTGACGGGTCTGGGACCGGGTCTGAACCAGGTCGGAACCGGGTCTGAACCGGGTCCAGACCAGGTCTAGACCAGGTCAGGACCCAGACTGAACCACAACAAGACTCAGAATCTTTTTCCTCTGGACAGAAGTTTGCACATTTCATCATCTGAAAAAAAAATATGATTTGAAATCTGTCCTGTCTAGTCTGGTCTAGTCCTTGTCAGTCTGGTTAGTCCTGGTGTCCTGGTCTAGTCTTGGTCTAGTCCTGGTTCAGTCCTGGTCTAGTCCTGGTTCAGTCCTGGTCTAGTCTTGGTCTAGTCTTGGTCTAGTCCTGGTTTAGTCCAAAAGGTCCGGGCAGAGACCAGTTTAAATCCTTCTGGAGCGAGGGATGAACCAGATCTGATCCACAGGAAAAAGACAAACGACAAACGAGTGTAAATCACCGAAGAAAAGAAGAGAGAGAGAGAAAAGAGAGAGAGAGGGAGAGAACATGGGGTGGGATAGACAAATAGAGGAGGAGAGGAGGAGGAGAGGAGGATCAAACAAACACTCAAACACAAAAGAGAAGAGAAGAAGAAGAAGAAGAGCTCTCACCGACGTCACCGAGAGAGAGAGAGACAGGGAGGGAGGAGAGAGAGAAAGAAAAAAGACAGAGGGAGAGAGAGAGGTAAGAAAAAGAGAGATATAGCGAGAGAAGGGGGAGAGAGAGAGAGAGAAAAATGAAAGAGAGGGGGAGGGAGAGAGTGACTGTGTGAGAGAGAGGAAAGAAAGAGAGAGAGAGAGGAGGAGAGAGGGAGAGAGAGAGGAGAGAGAGAGAGAGAGAGAGAGAGAGAGAGAGAGAGAGAGAGAGAGAGAGAGAGAGAGAGAGAGAGAGAGAGAGAGAGAGAGAGAGAGAGAGAGAGAGAGAGAGAGAGAGAGAGAGAGAGAGAGAGAGAGAGAGAGAGAGAGAGAGAGAGAGAGAGAGAGAGAGAGAGAGAGAGAGAGAGAGAGAGAGAGAGAGAGAGAGAGAGAGAGAGAGAGAGAGAGAGAGAGAGAGAGAGAGAGAGAGAGAGAGAGAGAGAGAGAGAGAGAGAGAGAGAGAGAGAGAGAGAGAGAGAGAGAGAGAGAGAGAGAGAGAGAGAGAGAGAGAGAGAGAGAGAGAGAGAGAGAGAGAGAGAGAGAGAGAAGAGAGAGAGAGAGAGAGAGAGAGAAAGAGAGAGAGAGAGAGAGAGAGAGAGAGAGAGAGAGAGAGAGAGAGAGAGAGAGAGAGAGAGAGAGAGAGAGAGAGAGAGAGAGAGAGAGAGAGAGAGAGAGAGAGAGAGAGAGAGAGAGAGAGAGAGAGAGAGAGAGAGAGAGAGAGAGAGAGAGAGAGAGAGAGGAGAGGTGGTCATCCGTCCGTCTCCTTCATAAATGAACAGTTCTGGTGTGAGTCTCTGTGGAACCTTCTGACCTCTGACCTCTGACCCTGGTCCTGGTTCTGAGTGGCTTTCACCTCACAGCCAGAAGGTTCCGGGTTCAATCCCCGCGTCTCCTCGTGTCTGGGTTTTCCTCCGGTTTCCCCCAAAACACCAGAGGTCAGATCAGATCCTCCAGCGGAGACGAGATGATGGAGCTGCTCCCCCCCCAGACCCCGAAGAACAACGGTTCTACCCCAAACAAACACCTGACTCCAGCAGAACTCTGTCCACATGAAGGTCCCAGTCTGAACCTGAGGTCACGAGGTCTGAGGTCAGGAGTTCTAGGGTCACAAGTTCTGGGGTCACAAGTTCTGGGGTCACAAGTTCTGGGCTCACAAGTTCTGGGGTCACAAGTTCTGGGGTCACGAGTTCTAGGGTCACGAGTTCTGGGGTCACAAGTTCTGGGGTCACAAGTTCTGGGTCACAAGTTCTGGGGTCACAAGTTCTGGGGTCACAAGTTCTGGGGTCACAGTTCTGGGGTCACGAGTTCTGAGGTCAGGAGTTCTAGGGTCACAAGTTCTGGGGTCACAAATTTTCTGGGGTCAAGAGCTCCAAGTTCTGGGTCAGGAGTTCTGGGGTCACAGAGGTTCTGTTTGGATTCTCCAGGAAACAGAAAACGACTCGTGATTCGAACAAACTGAAACTGAAACTGAAACTGAAACTGAAACGGAGCAGAACCTGGTCAAGAAAAACAAAACAAAAAAGCAAACACCCGCGTCGAGTTGAAAAGTGTTTTTTTATTGAGAATCAGGAGGATTTCATAATAAAATAAAGTTTGAGTTTGTGTTTTGGCGACAGCTGCCTGCGGTGATATAAAAAGTACAAATTGTGGGAAAGTTTTTACACCTCGAGTCAAACACAGAATCAAAAACACAAGAAGAAGAAGAAGAAGAAGAAGAAGAATCATCGTCATTGTCGTTCAGACTCCGAACACAAAAGAGAAAAGATCATGCAGCGTCATAATGCCCCAACTCCACACAGGAAACAGGAAACACCAAAAAAAAAACCACCAAAGGAAACGCCAAAGGAACATCTCAACGTTTAAAGGAACAGTGTGGAACTTTACCTTCTCCTGCAGGAACATCACGGGCTCAGGGACGTTCTGAAGGAGGACGTCGCTTTGAACGATTTCTACAAAATTTCGATCCTCCGTGTTACGAAAAAGAAAAAAAACAGATTCACGTGTTTTCATGAGTTTCATTTTCGTCCCTCCCTCGCTTTGCTCTCTGTGCTGAGTCGCTCCCCCTTCAGAGCGTCGCACCGATGAAGCTCCTGCAGGTCACGTCAGGTTTGTCCAGTCGCCGTGTTCAGGTTTGTGTCGTGTTTTTGTGCGTTTTTGGAGGATTGTCGTGCGGGAGCTTGTGGGCGGAGCCTCGTACAGACTCGTACTGTAAGGAGGGTCCAGGAGAGATCTCTAGATTACTCAAACATACATGGAGGAGATCTTTGTTTTTCAGCGTAAGAACTTTCTCTTTAATTACAAAAATGTTTGATGTGATAAGAAAGCAGAATGAACCTCAACGTGACGGAGGTTCTGAGCTCCACGTGAGGCCTGACCATGAACTGAGACTGAGAAGAACCTGGACGTGTATCTGAGAAGAACCTGGACGTGTGTGTCTAAGAAGAACCTGGATGTGTGTCTAAGAAGAACCTGGACGTGTGTCTAAGAAGAACCTGGACGTGTGTCTAAGAAGAACCTGGACGTGTGTTTGAGAAGAACCTGGATGTGTGTCTCTGTCTAAGAAGAACCTAAGGACGTGTGTAAGAACCTGGAAAGAAGAACCTGGATGTGTGTCTAAGAAGAACCTGGATGTGTGTCTAAGAAGAACCTGGACGTGTGTCTAAGAAGAACCTGGACGTGTGTCTAAGAAGAACCTGGATGTGTGTCTAAGAAGAACCTGGACGTGTATCTGAGAAGAACCGTGTCTGGACTGTGTACTCTAAGAAGAACCTGGATGTGTGTCTAAGAAGAAGTCTAAGAAACTGGACTGGACCTGGAGTGTGTCTGAAGAAGAACCTGGACGTGTGTGAACCTATGTGAGAAGAACCTGGACGTGTACTGAGAAGAACCTGGACGTGTGTCTAAGAAGAACCTGGACGTGTTCTGAGAAGAACCTGGACGTGTTTGAGAAGAACCTGGACGTGTATCTGAGAAGAACCTGGACGTGTTGAGAAGAACCTGGACGTGTATCTGAGAAGAACCTGGACGTGTTCTGAGAAGAACCTGGACGTGTTTGAGAAGAACCTGGACGTGTTTGAGAAGAACCTGGACGTGTTTGAGAAGAACCTGGACGTGTGTCTGTCTCCAGGTGAAGGCCACACTTTTCCTTTAAACGTCGATGATTCTTTAAATCAGAAAAACACTTTGAGCCTAAGAGAAACTTTTCTTTTCCACGACGTCGTTCAGCTGCAGCTCAAAGACGGAGAGTTTGGGGTTTGTCTCGTCCACGGGACTCGGAGCGGAGACGCTGCTCCCTCCGAGTCCAGCTCCTTTAAATGCCCTTCGTCTAAAACAGATCCATGTTCCACACTTAAAGCCCCACTGCGGAACTTTCCTCTGACCACCGAGACTGAACCAGGACTGAACCAGGACCAAACCAGGACCAAACCAGGTCTAAACCAGGACTAAACCAGGTCTAAACCAGGACTAAACCAGGACTAAACCAGGACTAAACCAGGACCAAACCAGGTCTAAACCAGGACTAAACCAGGACCAAACCAGGTCTAAACCAGGACTAAACCAGGACCAGGTCTAAACCAGGACCGAACCAGGACCTAAACCAGGTCTAAACCAGGTCTAACCAGGACTAAACCAGGACTAAACCAGGTCTAAACCAGGACTAAACCAGGACTAAAAACTAAACCAAACCAGGACTAAACCAGGACTAAACCTAAACCAGGAACCAGGTCTAAACCAGGACTAAACCAGGACTAAACCAGGACTAAACCAGGACTAAACCAGGTCTAAACCAGGTCTAAACCAGGACTAAACCAGGTCTAAACCAGGTCTAAACCAGGACTAAACCAGGACTAAACCAGGAGTAAACCAGGTCTAAACCAGGACTAAACCAGGACTAAACCAGGACTAAACCAGGACTAAACCAGGACTAACGCGGGTCAGAGATGTTCCGCAGTGGAGCTTTAAGTGCGACAGATAAAGACCTTGTGGAAATATGAAGTTATGCCCTTGTTTTTTTTTTTTTGTAGCTGCAGAAAAACGGTTAAAAAATTATAAATAAAAATAGAAGCAAATTCACAAAAGCTAAATAAATTCAAACAGAAATCATAAAATCACAAATCACCAGCGCCACAAAAGTTTTGTGCAAAACAGAAACTGCAGCAGAGGCGCCCCCACAGGACACCAGAGGAACTGCAGCCAAGAGACGAAGAAAACTCTCAACGTTTGTCGAGTCTGGAGATTAAAACCATGAGTTTTAATACTCATCATTTTAATGAACGTTTGGTTCTTTAAATCTGCCCAACCTGACCTGACCTCTGACCTCTGACCTCTGACCCCTGACCCCAGTTCTAATTCTGTTCTGTGACATTTTAAATCTCAATTTTGATCTAAAACAACT